CAATCATGGGGTCTAGAGAAGATATAGTAGAAACAAGAGGCACCATATGTAATCGGATGCAACATGTGTATGTGTTAAGACACTTGAGTGTGTCTCCAAATCACAATCTTTCATCAAGCAGTTTTACACTAAGTTGAATTATTTTTCTTGGAACACCTCTACTGGTATTTCAAGAGTCTCTGTGATCCTTTTAAGGTCTTGCAATGCTTTGAAATCATTAGGGTTGCCAACTTTCTACTCCCACAAAACTGAATACTTGGGCTGTCAATTAATTGCATTTAACATACGTGATTAACTCAAAAAATTAATCATATTGCTGAAACTACAGAACCTGAACCACCAAAAAAGATAAATCAACCTTCTGCTGGTGGCAACCTTCTGACTCAGATAATGAAAATGAGCGGGCATCATTCTGCCCTGCTTTGGATTCTAATTGAGCAGAATCAGTCATCAGCATGAACACATGTCCCCTGGAATGGTGGTTGAAGTGTGAAGGGACATACAAATCTTTAGCACATCTGGCACATAAATATCTTGCAACGCCAGCTACAACAGTGTCATGTAAACACCTGTTCTCACTTTCAGATGACATTGTAAATAAGAAGGGGCAGCATTATCTCCTGCAAATGTAAACAAATTTGTTTGTCTGAGCGAATGGCTGAACAAGAAATAGGACTGAGTGGATTTGCAGGCTCTAAAGTTTTACATTTTGTTTTTGAATGAGTTTTGTGTACAGAATTCTACATTTGTAAGTTCAACTTTCACGATAAAGAGATTTCACTACAGTACTTGTAGTAGATGAATTGAAAAATACTCTATATTTATTTTTGATTACAAGTATTTGCCCTGTAAAAAGAAAAGTGAGCACTGTACTCTTCGAATTCTGTGTTGTAATTGAAATCAATATATTTGACAATGTAGAAATCATCCAAAAATATTTAAATAAATGATATTCTATTATTGTTTAATGGCGCAATTACTCACAATTAATTTTTTTAATTACTTGACAGCTTTCCCCTCTGACCCTCCTCTGAGGCCCTGCCCCTGCCCTGCCCCTTCTCCAAGGCCTTCCCCCACTGACTCCATCTCCCCCTCCCTCTGTTGCTCATTCTTCCCACCCTCAGTCACTCATTTTCACCAGACTGGGGTAAGAAGTTGGGGTGTGGGCTCTGGTGTGGGTCCAGGGATTATGGATTTGGGTGCAGAAGGGGGCTCCAGGCTGGGTCTGAGAGGTTTGGAGAGCAGGAGGCGGCTCTGGGCTGGGGCAGAGGGTTGAGGTGTGGGAGGTGTAAGGGCTCTGGCTGGGGGTGCAGCCTATTGGGTGGGTCTGGGGATGAGGGATTCAAAGGGCAGGAGGGGAATCAGGGCTGGGGCAGGGGCACGGGAGGGGGTGTGGAGTGAAGGCCCCAAGCAGTGCTTGCCGCAAGCAGCTCCTGGAAGCAGCAACATGTCCCCCTTCTGGCTCCTACATGTAGGCACAGCCAGGCAGCTTTGTGCACTGACCCATCTGCAGGCACAGCCCCTGCAGCTCCCATTGGCCATGGTTCCCAACCAATGGGAGCTGCGGAGCCCTCTGGCTGCCCCTATGTGTTGGAGCTAGAGGGGAGACATGCTACTGCCTACTCACCTATCTGGGATCAGAAAACACTCCTTGTCCCAAAACACTGGCCCTTTAATGCTACGGGGTCTGGATGTTTCAGGAGTACTGTATAAGTAGTAAACCCCACCCAATCAAAACAAACCATCAGGGGAGAAATATGATAAAATAAACCTTTCTTGCTGTATTTCTGGCCCAGATTACTGGAAATTTTGTGAGAAAGTTTACTCAAGAGATTTCCATACAAATTTTTCTGACTCAAAAGTTTTGACTCAAGATAAACTTAATAAGCAATTGATGTTTTGGGTGATTAAAGAATTAGTTTTTTGAACCAAACTCTGAACCTTCTTCATGATGTAAAAGATAAAACAAGTTCACCACTTTGACAAGAGTTTTGTATTTTATTGATAATCTATTTAGCTAGGCAGTAAACTCAGTGCCAAGTGAATAATGAAAAGCACAAATACTGATAATTTGGGAATAGTGTTCTGCAGCATAAGGATTATTCAAAACATCATAAAACTAAAGCTTTTTTCCCCCAATTATTAAGTAGCCTTTTGTGAACATTTATATATTCTAAGTATTTAAGATAAAATTAGAAAAAAATAAGAAAGACAAAGATAATGAAAATTAAATGTCCTCAGTAACTGGGCAAAACTGTAAATTAACAACATGTAGCTGTAACAATAATAATTTTGTGGCAGAAACCTAACAAACTATAGATTCTTAACGGGGCATTTACAATTTAGTTCTTTTCTTCTTTCAGTTCTCCTACATAAATTAAATTTCCTAAATAAGTGGGGTGTGTCTGCTAGACTACAGTAGAGCTCTACAAAAATGCTTATGATATGATGCTTATGGTCTGATTCTTTTTTCTCCTTAGGCTGGAATGACCTCATCAAGAGAATTAAAGAGTGACACAAACAGTCTTTAAGGGAAGTAATTTCCTGTTTGCACTCCAGAAATAACAGAATGGTATAGAGAACATGCCGAAGTGGTGGTCAGTGGGAAAGAATATGGATATCCTCTTACTCTAAGACACAGAAAATTCCATTTCCCTTCAGATGTAAATAACAGCCCTGCAAAGGAAATAAACAGACTATTATGCCCATGGGCAATCTAGTTGTCTCACATTCCATTTCACACAAGTGAAGATTCCCTTGAAGGACTGGGGTGTAAATGGGAACTTAGATCTGATTTGAAGTAAAACATTTTTTAAAAATGCAACAGAAAAAAGTTCCATGATTAAAATGCAACATCTGAATATTTAAAATCTATATTTAAATTATTTTGATGATGGTGAACAGTCCTAGACTGACATATCTTGAAACAGAATTTCAAAGAACAGGTATGATATTGGAAATGGCATAGCAAGTGTAGACACCAATAGGCCCCTAGACCAGGGGTGGGCAAACTGTGCACTGCTGCCACACCGGAGCTGCTCCAGGTAAGTGACACCAAGCTGGAGCCTGCACCCCGCACCCCTCCTGCACCCCAATCCCCTGCCACACCCCAGCCCTCTGCTGCACCCTGCACTCCCTCCTGCATCCCAAACCCCTGCTCTGAGCCCCCTCCTGCACTCCCCACCCCTCCCAGAACTCTGCACCCCTCCCTGCACCACTGCCCTGAGCCTCCTCCTGCATTGTGCACCCCCCTCCTTACGCCAACCCCCTTCTCTGAGCCCCCTCAAACACCACGCACCCCTATTCTGCCCCAACCCCATGTCCTGAGCCCCTTCCTGCACACCACATGCCCTCCCACACCCCACTCTCGCTCCCGCACCCCAACCCCCTGCCCCAATCCTACATTCATGGCCTTGCAAGCAATTTCCCCACCCCAATTTGGCCTGCAGGCCAAAAAGTTTGCCCACCCCTGCCCTAGACCACTCCTGTAGATGAGAGGGATAACACATGCTCATTCCAAACCTCTTGGGCTGAGGCTCTGCTGAAAGTCTGTTGACTGAACACTGTCAATTATGGTTGTGAGTTTTGTGATGTGGACACCACCTAAGCACAGTTTAATGGAGCTGTGTTTCAAAGGAGCAAATTAGCCCAGTTCCTATTAATAGAGGCATTTCAGAGCTTAATGCTGATCGTGGTTATCTTATTGAAAAGTGATATTATTTCATTTGTGACATTAGCAATACTGCATAAAACTGCAATTATACCAGTGAGCAACTGTAAACTAGTTCATTCCTGCTGCAGCCACCATTTTCTTCACAGGTCTGAAAAATTTGTGTGTCATATTACACCCCTTTCATCCCACATACATTCTTCACCATTTAGTCCCAAAGGGTGAACCATGCAGAGCTGAAAGAACAGCAGCATTATCACCAGGCTGAAACCTTTTATTTTCACATAGCTGGCTCCTTTTTGCTAAGCGCAATAGCTAGCCCTATAGTTCTTATTCATCTCCTGGTCTCTCCTCTTTCTCCACATGTCCATCTCTTCTTTCAATTCCAGCAAGCAGCACTTCATAGGCATTAGGGTGTTTCTCTGTCTATCTGTATACTTAAGTTGGTTCTTATACTATGTTCTTCACCATGGTAAGCAAGTACCTCCTCTCAGACTAGCCAGCACATGACAACCATCCAAGTGCAACCCACAGTCTTGGCTACTACTGTTTGTCCTCCCATTTTCCCTTGCTGTTACTGCTGTTCATCTACCTCTCCAAAACAGCAACTCAAAAATCAATATGTTCCAGACACTGACCTTGTGGCATATTAGTTATTATGCCCCTGCCAAGGCATCTTTATTAGTTTTCCCATGAGCCCTCTAGAGGCTTCAGATGTGGAGCAGGAGTCATGGAACAGGCTGACCCCGATGCAAGGACTACTTTCCAGTTTTCTTAATCCTATTATATACTAAAATAAATTTGCACTTGCTAAGCTATTTATCATTAGGGTTGTGTTGTACCCTCCTTGAAGTGAACAAAGTATTCTCCTCCCTAGAATTGAATCTTATTCTTGTTTTTTTTTTCTCCAAATCACAAAAAAAGCATGGTAGTGATACAATCTTCAAAAGATAAACATTACTGTATATAGCTGTCATTGACTGACTGGCTAAACTTTGAAATGCTATTCTGCTACACATAACAGGCTAGATATTTTCTGAACATGTTCTGCCTACTAGAGATTTTATTTGTTTTTCTTTATGATTTGTTTTTGCACTTGCTTGCTATCTGTTGACACAACAGCATTCATATCCGCAGTCTCTGCTCACTTTATAAGAGGGAATTAGATAAATAATGTATAGGACAGGACACCGCACTGGGCTGAATCTAGTTTTATTAACACTAAATGAATAACATGTAATCAAAAGCACTGCATTTATTTTTAATTTTAGAATAGTTAATAGAGAATTTAAATATTTATCATCTTATTTAGAGTTTAAAAAAATCTTACCAGTGAAGCCTGGAGGACAAACACATGTGTAGTCTGCAACCAGGTCTAAACAAGTTGAATTGCTTCTACAGAAGCTGTAAGTGCACTCATCAAAGTTGATTTCACAGTTCAGACCTTCAAATCCTTAATTGGAAAAAAAAAACAGTTTATTATTAGTTTATACCTATGCCTTCTTTTCTGAGACACAATTATTGTAAATAAATCAATTCTTATCAAATTACTCCAAGAAAACCACAAATTATTCTCTTTTATGGCTTTACTGCAAGATCTTTCTAAAAGCCTTTTCTGTTCTGTCATTAGTACATTATCACTTTTGACCTTCAAGTGTACTTTTAAAGAACTACTATTTGGAAGAACACACACACAAACATAAGGATTTGGTATTCCCTTAAATCCACTTTTAGTTTTTTGTTTTAGTAATACTCTGTGAAAAAAAAATGTATACATTTTAAGATCACTTGTGAAGGACAGTGGTTTGTATTGATTTTTTGGGACTGATTTGCTAACAGTTTAAAATCAATATTGATGTAGTTTTTATTTATCTATTTATTTTATTTTCATTACTTAGGGTTAGAGTTAGGATATTCTACAAAAGTCTTCTTTCATATGCATTTCTAGTTGATATCTAGATTGTTTAGCAATCTAACTCCTACATCATCAAAGGCAGTAAGGTGTTGCAGTCCACCCTCCAATCTTCTAATTGTGTACTCCTCCACAACATTTGATTATCTTCATTGCTCTCCCACAGTCATACTGTGAAGATTGGGCTAAACCAAATTTCTGCATTGTGGCAGCTGCTGTGCCTCTCCTAGTCATCAGGAATGGTCAATGGGGAGAGACAGTGTGACCTAGAAGCCATCGGTGGTACACTAGTCTGCGTCATCAATTCTTGTCAAGTCTAACACACTATTTTCATGATAAATGCACAAAAGGTGGCATGTAAGATACCACTGAAAAACTAATAGCTCACTGATCATTAATATTCCTCTGTGATGTATATGCAGGGTGTGTATAAAAAATTATAGATATGTGCAGAATTATGTTCTTAAAATGTGTTTGACAAGTAATGCATAAGTATGGTCTGCCTTAGACAAAAGAATGTGTATTTGTTTGTCTGTCCAGCCTGCTCATCAGTTAGAGACAATGAAGGTCTATTTATATACAAGGTAAACAAAGCCATCAAGCTAGTAAGAGGGGGAGAAGACAATATGGCATCTAAAGCCTAGCAGTAAAGAGAAACTTTATATGGTCCATAAAGACAGAGTTTGAATCTCAAATGATAAGCAAATGAATCAATTGATTGTATAGAATATTACTGTATTATACAAATGTATCAAGTATGGTCTTTTATGAATGCTAATGGAACACTGCTGATTAATATCATGGTAAAATGAATGTGTTAAGACTATATGAAAGAATTATAAGTACTCACTTCTATTATGCTTTGAAGTCTGTGATCAAACAAAGGGAGAAAGGGATTTTCTCCCAGATAGAAGGAAATGCAGTTCACTACCTGTCTCCAATAAAAGGAAGCAAAAACAATGGAATCACCATTTACATATGAATCAGCAGGAGATGGGAATTCCACAGGAAGGGAAGAATATCATGTGGTAATCCTGAGTCTAGAGATAAAACAGTGAGTTTGGGAATATATAAGGAAAGAGAAGATGACATCTTGGCATCCATCATTAGACAGAAAAAGGGGGCCAGAGTTCTTGCAAGTTGAGAAAGGTGTATCCTTCAACCACGGGGATTGAAGTCTCTAGAAAGGATGACTGGTGAGAAAACTATCTTGAACAAATATTGTAGCTTGTTAAGTTAATGTTATTTGTTTGTAACCATTTGGTCTTTATCCTTCTACTTGAACTCAGTTAAAACCTCCCTCTTTTTGTTTTACTTTTAATCTAAACCAGCTCAATGCAGTGTTTGAATTGAAGTGACTGTTAGCTCCACTTAAAGTAATATGCTGTGCTTTTGTCTCTTTAAAGGAACAAACATTATTAATTCTTTGAATGTTCCAAGAGAGGGCTGGACCCTTCAGGGCAGATGGTTTTCCGGAAATTTGGGGTGTGTTGGGGGTCACCCTGCAAGTAGTAATCAAGGTTGGGGGAGACCAAAGTATGTCTGTGATGTAACAAGCATGCTGCTTGAGTCAGAGTTGCTGAACCAAGCCTGTTCAGCACACACACACACGCAATGCATGTTGTATTCTATCTGAGAGCATCCAGACAGGGAGCTACAACAGCAGAGGCACTTAGGGTAACAGGACAAGGGGTGACAATCTCTCACTAGTCTTGATTGCACCCCCAAATATGACAGACAGTCAAAAAGATGGACTTTACTCTTTCTAGCTGGGAAGTCTAGCAGACTGTTAGAAGATTTTCTGGAGATTCTAATTCCAGCAAAAACGAGTTTCCAGTCATTGCAAATTCTATTGCATCCCAGGTAGGGGCTAATGGCTGTACACAGAACTTGGATAAATCTTTTTATCTGTGCAGTCAAAACTGAGGTTAGAGAGGTTCCAGGATCCTAATGTGGATTCAAACTTGATGGCTCCTTTTCCAGAAAAAGAGCTGGACTATGCCATAAAGCTTATGAAAAGAGGAAAGGCTCCAGGCCTGGATTATATCCACATAGAGTTCTACTTCACATGGGACCAAAAGCTGGCTGCTTTGTTTCCTCGTCTGATGTTTTGAGGACATCTGCATTGCAAAAGTCTAGCACAGAGCAAAGTAGACATTCTGAAACCAGAAGAAATTGCTGGAAAATCCCAAGAGCTACCAATCCATCTCTCTCCTTTGTGTCACATACAAGCTTATGGAGAAATTGATTCTGATGAACATCAATGAGGTTATCCAAACACAACTGCCCTTTGTTCAGTTTGGCTTCAGATGGGTATTATTAACTCACAATCAAGACATTTACCTAACACAAGACACTGAAGATGCCTTTGAGAAAGGGAAGAACATTGGTGCCATTATGGTGGATATATCAACTGCATCTGATACTATCTGGCATATAAAGTTTACCGCCAAATTCTTGTAGACTGCTCCCTGTAAGTCCATAGTGTGGTTTATTATTAATATTATAATAAGTTGGAGATTCATCTTGCAAGCTGGATACAACTCCAGACATCTTAGTCATGGACTCCCAGAAAGATCTGTTCTAGCTCCTCCCCTTTTCAACTTATATTCTTATGACTATCAACAACTAAGGCTGATGAGTATGTATATACAGATGATATCCATCTTGCTGATGTGGGTAAAAATCTATATGAAGGTTAGAGGCTCAGACTTTAGATGATCATGATGGTCCCTTCTGGGCTTAGTCTGCCCTTCTGCACATTGCAGGCCACAGAACCTCACCCACTCTTTCATTAGACCCATACTTCTGGCTCAATTACTTCAATCCTCAAATCATGATTTAATGACTTCAAGTTACAGAGAATCACCATTTACTCTAGTTTAAACCTGCAAATGACCCCATCTGATGCTTCAGAAGAAGGCAAAATGCCCCCAGGGTTTCTATCAGTATGACGTGGGGGGAAATTCCTTCCCGACCCCAAAGATCAATTAGACCCTGAGTATGTGGGCAAGACCCACCAGCCAGATATCGAGGAAATAATTCTTTGCAGTAACTCAGAGCCCTCTCCATTTCTGGTCATATCACCAGCTATTGGAGATATTTGCTGCTAGCAGTCACAGATTGGCTACTTGTCATTGTAGACAGTCTCATCACACCATCCCCTCCATAAACTTATCTTGAAACCAATTAGGTTTCCTCCCTATCCCCACTGCTCCTCTTCGAAGGCTGTTCCAGAACTTCACTCCTCTGATGGTTAAAAACCTTTGTCTAATTTCAAGCCAAAACTTGTTGATGGCCAGTTTATATCCATTTGTTCTTGTGTCCACATTGTGCTTAACTTAAATAACTCCTTTCCCTCTCTGGTATTTATCCCTCTGATGTATTTATAGAGAGAAATTGTATCTCCCCTCAGCCGTCTTTTGGTTAGGGAAGCCAAGCTCCGAGTCTCCTCTTATAAGGTAGGTTTTCCATTCCTCTGAGCAGCCCTTCTCTGCACCTGTTCCAGTTTGGATTAATCTTTCTTAAACATAGGAGACTATAACTGCACATGGTATTCCAGGTGAGGTCTCACCAGTGCCTTGTATAATAGTACTAACACTTTTCTGTCTCTACTGGAAATATGTCTTGATGCACCCTAGGACTGTATTAGTCTTTTTCATGGCCACATCACATTGGCGGCTCATAGTCATCCTTGAATAACAAATACATCCATGTCTTTCTCCTCTGCTAACTCTTCCAACTGATAAGTCCCCAGCTTATAAGCAAAAATTCTTGGTGTTAGGCCCTAAGTGCATGACCTTGCACTTTTGCCTATTTAATTTAATCCCATTTCTATTACTCCAGTTTACAATATTGTCCAGATCTTCATCTTCTGGTCCTCCTTTGTATTAACATTATCTCCCAACAGTGAGTCATCTGCAAATTTTATTAGCACACTTCCACTTTTTGTACCAAAGTCAGTAATAAAAATGTTGAATAAGACTGGTCCCAAGACTTATCCCAGAGGAACTCCACTAGTAACCTCACTGGAGCCTGACAATTCATCTTTCAGTATGACCTGCTGTTTCCCCTTTAACCAGTTCCTTGTTCACCTTTCAATCCTTATATTAATCCTCATCTTCTCCAATTTAATTAATAATTTCCGATGTGGAACTGTATGAAATGATTTTGTGAAATCCAGGTAGATTAGATCTACTGGACTTTCTTTGTCTAGAAAATCAGTTATCTTCTCAAAAAAGGAGATAGGGCTGGTCTGGCATGATCTACCTTTTGTAAAACCATGTTGTATTTTATCCCAATTACAATTTACCTCTATATCTTTAACTACTTTCTCTTTCAAAATGTGTTCCAAGACCTTACATACAACTGAGGTCAAATTTACAGGTCTGTAGTTTTCTGGATCACTTTTTCCCCCTTTCTTAATAATAGGAACTTTATTAACAATTCTCTAGTCAAAGTACTACCCTGAGCCCTGCCCTGAGTTTACAGATTGATTAAAAATCCTTGCTATTGGACTTGTAATTGTGTGTGCCAGTTCCTTTAATATTCTTGAAAGGAGATTACGTGGGCCTCCTGATTTAGTCCCATTAAGATGGTTGAGTTTGACTTCCACCTAGAATGTGGTAATTTCTGCTTCCATTACCTTGTTTCTATTAGCCACCCTGCCACTACCCCTAAACTCTTCATTAGCCTTATTAAAAACTGAGGCAATATATTTATTTAGGTGTTGGAACATGTCTAGATTATCTTCAATCTCCACCCTATCCTCAGTGTTTATCAGTCCTACTTTTCTTTCCTTGTTTTCTTTTTTTATTTATATGGCTATAGAACCTTTTACTATTCATTTGAATTTCCTTTGCAAGATCCAACTCTGCTTGGCTATTGGCAGTTCTCACTTTACCTACACTTCCTCAGCTCTGAGAGGTAGCTTTTCTTGCTGATCCATCTCATCTTCCATTCCTGGTAAGCTTTCTGCTTTCTCTTAATCACTTATTTGAGGTGCTTGCTCATTCAGCTTTCCAGCTTGGTCTGCAATCCTTCCCTACAATTCCATCCCCCCCACCACACCCCCCAGCCCGTGCTTGGGATACAGGCTTCATATAGTTTAAGTCAAAGTCGCAAAAACTAATTCCAAGCCTCCTCCGCATTCAGATCCTTGATTTCTTCAGTCCAGTCCACTTCCCTAACTAATTTCCTTATTTTTTTTTTAAATTTGCACTTTTGATATCCAGGACTCTGATTGCAAATCTATTTTTTGTTTATACTTCCATTTAGTTTAAACTGAATTAGCTCATGATCACTTGAGGGTTGTCCCCACTGACCAATTTTTCCATGAGATCCTCACTACAATACTAAATCTAAAATGAACCTCTTGTCAGTTCAGCAACTATTTGGTGAATAAATCTGTCAGCTATCACCTCCAGGAAAATCTGGGCCCTGCTACTATTAGTAGCACTTTTCCTTCAATCTGTATCTGGGAAGTTAATGTCTCCCATAATCACACAATTCCCAGTAGCATGTATTTTATTAAAAACATCAAAGAGGTCTCTATCCATATCCAAATTGGATTCTGGGGGGTCTGTATCATACCACAAGCATTATCCCAAGGGAATATGTAGTAGCTTTCTTCCCCAAAGTGATTTTGACCCAAACAGATTCTGTTTTATCCATTTCATCACTTCTAAATTTCTTTACATTCTACCTCATCATTAATAATCACTCAGCAAGGACATTAATGCTCTTACCACATCAATAGAGACTTATATTTAGTGAGTCTAAAATGGCAACAACAACCGTCCATTTGAATGGTCGACTGGCTAGTCTGGCCAGGTGACCTGGCCCTTACAGTATGTGTTGAAAATTGGTCCACTTTCTTTCCAGCCATTTGCCACTTTAAAAAAAAAAAAAAAAAGTCAACCTGGACTGCAGTTTAACAGTCTGGAACACAAATAAAAAGATCATCTCTCACACTTCCTTGCTATCGGGAATCTCCTGGGGAGCAAAGGCAAATATTTTATGAACCTCAGTCCTGGTTCTGGTATTTATTACAGTGGAATATTTTGCAGAAGTATAATGCAGAAGTCAGCACACATATTTCATTTATTTGGAGCTGAATACAGCTACACACATCATTAATGGTTACCTTAGCCATCCATTAATATCTACAGAATGGAGACTATGAGCAACTAACTTTTAGAAAATTCTAACTACTAGGAGTATCAGCGATTTCTTAACATAAAATCTGCTGAAGAATCTCCACTCCAATATTTGACATTTTATATTCTTGTAAATGTATTCTAATGCATAGTCACGCTACAAAATGACTATCATTAGTGCTGTCACAGGCCATGGCTGCAAGAAGACCATGACAAATGCTAAGCTATCAGCACCTTCAGTGCATGGCATAGTCTCATAATTTCTCAAACTGACCATGGAACCAATTTCCACTGATCCCTAAGTCATAAAGCTTGACAATTACTCTGAGTTCATTAATAATGTATACGGTAACTGTTCTCATTCACAATCAGAGTTTAATCAGACCCATGTATCACAGGTAACAAGTAAACTACAGCATGATCAGTATGAATGCCAAGATTTATTTTCCTAACTCAAATGATCTAAACTAGACAAGCAGAATAAATAGTGAAATGATCTCATCTAACCTTGATTTTCAACTGATATTCAGTACCCATATTGGCTTTAAATTTAAAACTAACTAATTGTAGAGGTGACATTTTACTAAAATTATTTGCAACAATTTCATTTTAATTATGTTTTTCAAAAAGAAAAGGAGTACTTGTGGCACCTTAGAGACTAACCAATTTATTTGAGCATAAGCTTTCGTGAACTACAGCTCACTTCATCGGATGCATACTGTGGAAAGTGTAGAAGATCTTTTTATACACACAAAGCATGAAAAAATGGGTGTTTACCACTACAAAAAGTTTTCTCTCCCCCCACTCCACTCTCCTGCTGGTAATAGCTTATCTAAAGTGATCACCCTCCTTACAATGCGTATGATAATCAAGGTGGGCCATTTCCAGCACAAATCCAGGTTTAACAAGAACGTCGGGGGGGGGGGGTGGAGGAGGGTAGTATTAATACTTGGTGGCATGGGCCCCTTGGTGAGGGCTTTATGTGCTAATTGCACTTCCTCCTCTCTACACTGTGGAATATCAGAGCTAATTTTGATTTCATTAGGAGTCTAGTTACAGGCTGCTGAGCTCACTTTGGGCTAATGGTGCACCAGCACTGAAGCTCCCCTACTACAAGCTGAATTCACCAAAGAGCTGAACTGACTAAGAGCTGAAATCACTGAGTGTTGTGTTAAGTAGTGGGGGAGCCTGAAGATATATTGTGGAGAAGTTTGCGGGACGGCTGGAGTGCCTTGTGGACAGGCTGGTGGAGCAGTTTGTGGGACGGCGGGAGCTGCTTGTGGGCCACGGAGCGGAGCAAAGCAGTTCATGGGGCGGCTGGTGGAGTGGAGCAGAGCGGAGCGAAGGCCTATGGAGCTGTGGGGCGATCAGCTTCAGATCATGTAAGGTGCCTTTTACCCCCGCCCCCATCTCCACCCAGGTTGGGAGGTAAAGCTCTGCAGATAAACTTTTGAACTCTGGGGCTGTCCTGACCAGGGACAGAGACTTTTGGGTCATTGGACTTTTGGGACTTTGGGTGATTTGGTGTTGCTGGGCTCAAGAACCAAAGGGAAAGGGCATGCCCCAATTTGCTTGGGGTGGGTTTTTTGCTCATGGGTTGTGTTATGAATCCTGTTGGTGGTGTTTCCCCAACATAATGCCACATTGTTTCTCTCTGTTATTAAAAGGCTTTTTGCTACACTCAGACTAGGTGCTTGCGAGAGGGGAAGTATTATTGCCTCTTGGAGGCACCCAGCGGGGGTGGTATATATTTGTCCCAGGTCACTGGGTGGGGGCTCGAGCCGGTTTGCATTGTGTTATTGGAATGGATCTCCTAGATATTGAACCCGGACCTTGTTGCTGCCAACTCTGACGGGCAGAAGGGTTACATTTTTGCATTCACATTATAATGCTTGTACTGGTATACGTCTTTACAATTTACCAGAAATGTAATGAACAGGAAGCTTCAGCTCATACTTTGAACATATCATTTTTTTAGAGACAAAAAGTAAGCTGTGATAGATGTCCCAGTTATAAATAAACCAGACAACTTTATCTTTCCAAACTATAACACTTAGCCTCCTCCTCCTTAGCCCCCCCCCCCAAAAAGAAAAAAAAATCCTAGAATATTCCAAAAGGAAACCACTCATAAAAGTATATTAAAAAGACTCTCCAAATTCATTGAAAAAAATACTGAAATTTAGTTCTGTGAACCTTCCTTGCAATCACACTTTTGTTCACATATAGTAGTTAACACTGAACAATGTTGTGTTTATATAGAAATAGACCAAAAAAAAAGAAAAGAAAAAATAGAACACCTTTTTCTGAAAGAACGAGAGAGCTTAAACCCTTGGCACTGTAACTCCACTCCAAGAAGAGGTATTATTTCTATTATAATTGTGTATGATACTCAGGTTTAAAGTGCACGGTTGTTTAGCTGTACCAGATATTTTCATGATAAACTTGTTGATCGAGCTTTCTGTAAAGTTCGCATGCTGTCCGTTTGTTTTCATTACCCTCATTCTATCATTGTTAAAATCATGGTTATAACATGAGACATAACACTTACAAATATACTATTTGTAGCTTTTGTGTGAATATTTGATTTGTAGTTTGCTTTGATGGACATAGATGCAAATGAGACTTCAGAAATGAATAACATATCTTGACAGGAAAAAATTCTAACAAATGCTTTGAAGACTATCAGGAAGACACCTCAATCCTCAGGCAATTTTTGAAAATAGTCACTTATAATAAAAATACATTATTTTGAACAACTTACCTTCAGGGCAAAAGCAATCATATCCATTGACATTATTCTGACAGACAGCACCATTCAAGCAGGGCCCCGAATCACATTCATTCACGTCTATGTCACAGTATTGGCCTGAAAAACCTGCGTGAAGAATGGAAGGTTTTGATTTTCTCAGTTCTCATGTATTCTTACATAAAGTTTTTATTTCAAATGTGTTTGCCTAATTAAAATGAAGAAACATTCAGTTGCAAATCCCCATTGCAGGAGGAGACTTGAGGCCAGAACGCTAGTGTTCAATTCTGGCTCTCCCACTGAAACATGGTATTACATTTGACAAGCTTCTTGGACAATATTTTAAAAACAAAACAAATGTTCACTGATTTTTGGGTGCTTTCAATTTATGGGCACCCATCATAAAACATGTCTGAACTCATTTCAGAGGTGCTGAACATCTAGATTTCCCAGGGACTTCAATCATAAGCGAAGGAGCTCAACACCTCAGAAAGGAGTCAACAGGTGTCTTAAGCTGCACATATAAAAACTGAGGAACCACAACATAGTAGATTGTTTTGAATCTACTCCTCCATTTACACAGCTGTAAAATATCATAATGCTTCTCTATTTAAAGCAATATTAGTTAAATAATTAATATCTGAAAAGCTTTCAGACTTAGTCAAATGAACATTGTTATACAAATCTAATAGTACATATTATTATTTATGTATTCAGTAATCCAGGAGAGTGAAATATTTTAGTACTGTACATATTTCAAGATTTTATTATTATTATTTCTGGAAACATATGAAGTTTGCACCTGAATTATTTTAGAGTGACAACATGGAAACCACAAATATTGCAACTTGGATGAGCCGGAAGAATGGAAGGTAAGTCAGAAGATATGCATTAAACAGCAGGTGCTGTATGAACCTGAGAAGAAGTAACACAGGATCCAATCCCATAAGGTACATAGTTCCCTCAGTTCCCACCAAAAGCAAAAATGAAGCACACAACACCTCAGAGGACCAGACTCTTAGTGCATCGTATTTTATTTGTATTCCAGTTGATGCAACAAGCTCCAACTGCTGACTCCAACCAACAAAGGAAGCTGATGCTCAAACCTCTCAGTTCCACCACAGCAACATCAGTGTTTTCAAGTCAGTTGCACTAGTTTTACCGACGATAGAAATTTCCCGCCCCCTTTTTTTGTTTGCTTGTTATTCTGTCACTTTGCTAGATGTATGTCAAGAACTCCCCATTGTTGGCTGCCTTTGGAACATACTACAATCTGGCTCTGAGTCTTGGAAGAATTAGATTCAAAGTATTGCATGCATGTAACTTAATTTTTAAGTGTGCAGATTATATTATTAATATTAATAATATATTAATATATTTATATTATTAGAATATTTTATAATATTTTTGTATAGCTACCATAAAATTATATTAGTTCCATCATCTGGATATTTCAACTGGGGAAATCAAAAGATAGTGGAATCCATCTTCAAACTGGATCTGACTTTAACAACATCTAAAATATAGTGATCCAGACCCTCAGCAGGTGTAAACTGGCACAGCTGATGTGCACCAGTGGCACGTCTGGTTTGGATTTTTTAATGTTGCTATAGTAGGTAGGAATTCAAGGTGGTACAATCGTCTCTATTCAAAAAAAAAAAATTGCATCAGTGTAGCCACTGACATTCACACAACTACTGTCATTCTGTGGCAGAGCTACCACAAAATACAATTTAACCAGAACTCCTTTTCGATTTAGTTCTTATTTTAAAGCGTTATATAATGCCAAGGGAGTGGATTGGTAATATTTGTGTGTACCACAAGAGCCATAAAAAAAACAAGTGAATATATCAGCTGAGTTTTAAGATATCATTGAGATAACCCTAGAGATTATAAGTGAGCTTTCCTTTTTTATTAAAAAAAGTAACATAATATTCCATGTCGTCTTTGTTAATAAAACAATGAAAAACAAGACTGTCTATTTATAAAATAGAAGTGATCCCATGTGAAGCTTATATTTGGTTGTATTTTCCTGTTCAATCCCTTTCAACAGTCGTTTGATTAATTATTTAAGGAGAAAATCACTTTTTTGTATTTATGTTTTCAGGATCACCAAATGTCATGAAATATTTAAACTTTGCAATAATATTTTATTTGCATTTTATTCCATAACAGTTCACTAAGCCTCTCAGAAGTCACCTATTTATGTGAGCAAGGCAAGCCCAAATTGTGCTTCACTTGTAAAACAATTTAAAACAAAACAGATGTAAATCAAACCAAATAACATTTTTCCTGGTGGTTTAAAAGGCAAAACCTTTCCTATTTTCCCTTTGAATTTTTGCCACATTTTTGATTTTGCACCTGTCAAATCCTTTTTATCAGTCACACTAAACGCTCAAAACCCTTTGGTATCATAATGAAACAATGCTCTGGAGCATATTTGTGGAAAACCAGCAAATTTGGTCTGGAATGAAGTGTTAGATTGGTTTTCCCTCAACAAGATAATAAAAAAAAAATAAATATCAATATATGTCCTATAGGGCATATGTCATCATTTTCATGCAGAGAATAAATTTTAGTGATAAAATAGCATATTCCTTACCAAAAGACATTTTTCTGAAATAAAAGTGAATCACCTGGGTGACAGGTCAATATTTTGAAAAAAAATCTGTCAGGGATTTGTGTGTTCTTCTTTGGTTTATTATGATTATTGTTATGCTGGTGTAACCCACACATCTCCAGAGTGTGGTGTTCTGTCCCCTCTAGTGGCACCAAGACCACTTAGAGATTATTGACTCTGCTCTAGAGCCTTAGCTAAGAGCCAGTTGGCTTTTAGCTCATGCAGTAGAGGTGCATGGACTAAGCTCCAGAGATCCCAGGTTCGACCCCACCTGCCGAGGGCCAGGATCTGTCGGTGTTACACTGGTTCGGAAGCTCTATATGTAAACACAGGGAGGTGAAAGAGCCCCAAACAAGTGATACAATAAAGGATTACATTTATTCCAAGATGGAGCCAGAAGGAAGCCTCCGTAAAGATAGGGTATCAACAAAAACACAGTTTTAAATAATGCCACCCACCCAAATCAATGGGTGGGGGAAATTGATGTGACAGGCAGTGAAATGGGACAGTCCCAGTGGCAAGGGAGGGAGATGTTCACCAAGGGATAATAGGAAGCTCTGCACTGGGAGTCTCTGGCACTCGTTGGCCATATGGGAAGAGGAGTGTTGATCAGCTAGCATTCCCCAGCTCCCAAGAATTAGCCCAGGGTAGGGGCCATGTGAAGCATCTTTTGGCTCCCATTCTAGCAGCCCACCATACTCACCCAAACTATGAATGGGAACCTGGCCTGACAGATGCTGAGAGTTTAGCTGATCACCTGTTTAGGAGGGCAGGAAGGATTTTTTTTTCTCCCATAGGCCAATTGACAGAGGACCAGAGAATTTTTTGCCTTCCTTGCAGCACCTGCAAGCCACAGTGAGTTAAAGTAGGAACACACTTAGTACCTAACTGAGTTACTGGGCTGGAGTTTATTCATCACAAATTGCAGCCAGTGTCCAGGGCAGTTAAGGGAATAAAATGAACAGTTCCTAGAGGTAAAAGACCTAGGATATTGGTTGGCCTTGGATTCATATGATAGGGTGAGACCTTGTGACCTTCATGGGCCGAGGTCTGACCTTGTGTCTCTCACAGGCCGAGGTACCCTCCCTGCTGCACCCTCTGATCCCCTGGTGGGGATGAGGGGCAGCAGTACAGTGCTAGGACACACAGCTGAGTCCTGCAGGGGAAGGCTGAGGAGAGCCTCCCCCACGTTATTGGTTCTATGACAAGGAGCCCTGTAACACCTGCACTGGAACCAATTAAATGCCTGGTATAGGAGGAGGAGAAGGAGAGGGGAAGAGAGCTGGAGAGAGAGAGAGAGTGCGTGAGTGAATGCATGTATGGAGGAGAGGGTAACGTCCCTCCCTTGTGTTAAAGTTTAACAAAACTGGCAGCCTTCTGCTTAATTCCAGGCATACATCAGTCCTCATTTTGCCACTGTGTCCCCATCAATGAACTTGGTTGCTTTCATTTGACCCACTTGGACATAGTTCAGGACTGAGATGATTGGCAATGACGTACTGAGATTTTCATGTTGCAGAATTAGATTGACACTGATATCTGTTGTAGAAATACTCATGGAAGGGAAAAAATAGGGCTCAGGTAACAGAGTTTCCTTTTACTCTTCCTCACATAGGTTTAGAGAGATGCAAAAGAGGCAGGGCGTGAGCATTCCAAGCAAACAGATCCAAGAAATCTACAAAGAAGATCTACAAAGATCTACAGTAATACAAAGAGGCAATGATTTTTCATGTTGCACTTTGGGTTCTTGTACAAATTATTTTGCCTTTGGCTGCCCAAATGCACAGCACCACTTTTCTCTCAGAAATAAATTTCTAATAGCACATCCATTGGCTTGCCTAGAGATGTGAAGGTCTGGAAAAAAAAAACAGGAAGTGTTTAGAAAAAATCCCTCCCTCCCATTTTTTTTTCCTGTTATGGAAAAATTGGAAATTTTGGGAGAAATTGAAAAAGAAATGTATGTTAAATATTTTCTCTCAGTATGAATGGTGAATGAATTTTAGAGTGATGTTTAAAATGATATCACTGCTGCACTTCAGTCCTTCAAAATGCTTTCTAATAACAAATAAGTATTTAAAAAGAAGCTACTTGATTAAAAAAATCAGTACAGGGCACTTTCATCTGTACTAGAGAACACAAGTGAGGACAACAGGGCCCGTTTCTTGTGGATTACTGTCTGCCTGCCCCAGGTGACTTCAGTCCACCTAGAAATAGAGTTTGCTAAGGAGACAACGTGAGCAGGAGAGGAGAACCAGCCTCAACCCTGAAGGTGTTGTCCTCCTGATTGTCCGTGGTGAGCCTCCCACTCATCCCAGAGATATCATCTCTTCTCAGGAGACTAGGATGTTCACACCCTTTTTCCTAACAGGGGACAATAATCTGCTTCCTGACTGCTTGTCTAGAGTCATTGGGGCAGATAGGAAGATGCCAGTGCCTACAGGGACTCAGAAGACAGTCTTGTGGGGCTGAAATGGATCCTGCCTCAGAGTCCTGACATTGATATTCACAG